GTTGGAGGCCATCCCTCCTAGGTTGGAGGTCGTAGGTTGGAGGCCATTCCTCCTAGGTTGGAGGTCGTAGGTTGGAGGCCATCCCTCCTAGGTTGGAGGTCGTAGGTTGGAGGCCATCCCTCGGCCATCCCTTGTAGGTTGGAGGTCGTAGGTTGGAGGCCATCCCTCCTAGGTTGGAGGCCATCGCTCGCAGGTTGGAGGCAGCGCGTTCGTATGGTGTCACTGACCGCCTTTCGATCCGACGGATCCGAGACACGACGTCGAGAGCTTCGCCTGAAAGAACTCCACTGTGCTTCACAGCATATGCACTACTCGAGGTCAGAAGACAACCGCCATCACTCCAAAAAGAGAAATGCCCACAACCTGTGGTCTTGGCACACAAAGCCTGACATTTTTCAGGCGAAGACTTCTTGGTTCTATGGGTGCCAGGCATCGTGATTGCCCTGTTCTTCTCTCGCCAATAGACGCCTGAAGTGAAACAATCATCGCCGTCTTGGGTCTCACGATCCTCTTGCTCATCCACTTCGGCAAGCTGAATCCCCTCGTAAGCGGATGGCTCTGTACAGGGCAATACGAAGGACACCGGCTCTGTCTCCGTCTCACCCTCTTGAGCCATGTCAACTTTGTGAGCCCGTAGTTGTCTCAATTCTAAACTGCAATCGCCCTCTTCGGAGCTCTTGCATGTGTCATCGGCTGGCAGTTCCTCGCCAAGGGCTAGACCTTGGGCAGCCAAAGCACTCACTTTGTTCAATCGCAACATGGACCTGGCCTTGACCAAAAATGCATCCAAGCTGCTGAAAATTGGCAGCAGCCACAAAAGCCGCCCAAGCACCATTGGAGGAGCAATTTGAAGGAATTAGTATATCAGAATAGTAGTATGAAATAGCTGCGACAAAAATGCCGTTGAGGCTCATTTGCGGATCTTGGAAATGACAGAGATTCAACAGTACTGGTCTGAAGTGGTACCCCCAGCCGAATGAAGTCAGGTGTAGTCGTTTGAGGTTCCTCAACGAATCTCATGACCCCCTGTAAAAGAAGTGAACAAAAATCTGAGATATGTTAAGACAAACCGCAACACAGATCTTAAGTTCAAACATAATTTCACCTGGGAGCTTTCTTGTTCTTGCTCCGGAACCTACCCTCCTCGAGCCTCTTCTTCTTGGTTCGATGCTCTTCCTCTTCTATGGCTTTGGCCTGTGGGAACGGGATGGAAGAAGAGAATCATGAATCATTCCAACCAAATGAAGCTCCAACCTCTTGAGCATCCAAGTGCGTCTTGTCCTCCCGCTGTAGCTTCTGCTTCTCTTTGTTTGAGATGAACCTGAGCTAAGTCAGAGTAGATCGAATGCGACAGTGGCGACCGAGATGCGAACCACTCTTTGGCGGGTCTTGACTCAATCTCCTTTCGATGCTTCTGCAAATTCTCTGACCTTACACGGTGCAAAACGCTCGAGCAAAAGCAGCGCGAAGCAGCGTGACGGGGACCGGCATCGGCAATGATCACTGCATGGATTAAAAGTAGTACTGTGTACACAACAGCCATGGAAAACAAATGAGAGACTGCCGTTCTTCTCTTTCGATTCAATGGGTAGAGGAATTTATGATATGGGTAGACTATGAGTCTTTGAGTACAAAGCGTTTGTTCCTTGCCGGGACTTTACCGGAGCCTTAGGAATGGCCTCCAACCTATTAGCGATAGCCTCCAACCCAAGAGTGATAGCCTCCAACCTAATAGCGATAGCCTCCAACTTAATAGCGATTGCCTCCAGCCTAAGAGCGATGGCCTCGAACCTAATAGCTATAGCCTCCAACCTAACAGCGATGGATTTTTTCAACCTAAGAGCCATGACCTCCAAGAGAAAGTGCCACGTATGACTTGTGGATGGGTCTCGGAGAAGCCGTTCTGCACATCTCTCGAGCACAAGTCACACAAGCCACGGCCCATCATCCCACGACCCGGAAATTGCAGCTCCCGTCACTATCAAAAACAAGATACCCGACTACCCCAATCGTTTGTAGGACTTTCATCTGACGTTCATGAATAGTTCACAAGAAGCTACTAGGCACAAAGGGCATCGCTACTAGTAGCAAGAAGCTACTAGTAGCTCTTGGCATCGCTACTAGGCGCAAGAAGCTACTAGTAGCTCCTGGCCTTACTACTAGGAACAAGAAGCTACTAGTAGCAAGAGACTACTAGGTGGAGGCCATCGTTATAAGGTTGGAGGCCATCGCTACTAGTAACAAGAAGCTATTAGTAGCTCC